ACTGAGGAAGTATTTGGCGTAGATGTGGGAGCCGTGCAGGTCACGCCGAGCGCTGCCCTGGCACCGCTTCTCCAAGACCTGCAGCACCTTCTGGGCCAGCTCCACAGGTACCAACAGCTGGATCAGGGCTTCTTCATCCACCTCTGACAGCTGGACAGATAGAGTCATGCTAACCCTCATGGACTTGCCACAGTCCCCACGCCCCTTGTGACAGCCAGTGCCAGAACAGATAGAAAGGCTGCACCGCCAGAGGCCCCCAGGGCCATTCCCCAGTGCCGCCCTCCCCTGGCTGTCCCCAACCCAACTACCACCAGGCCCAGATCTCCCACCTGCACTCACCACCCAACCACAAACAGCAGAATCACCCCATGGGCTTGCCTCACCTACCCAAACCTCACTGGACACAGTCGCTCTTTCCGGGTCATGGCAGACTCTGCTTCCTCTCATTTCTCCTCACCCCTTTGCTGTGACCAGCTCCCCCTGCTTTTCCCATCCCCCCCTCGCTGTCCCTGCACAGCTCATGCTTGCAGTCTCCTCCTCCAGGCCCGGTCCCTTCCCTAATGTCCTCCCTCTTGTTTCCCCACTGCAGGCTCTGGCCCATACCTGCTCTCCCTGGTCCTGCTGGATGAGACAGATGATCTCTTCCTGCTCCTGCACTTCCAGCTTCTTCACAAAGAAGAGCAGCTCCCACCACTCAGCACGGCTCAGGACCTCTGCAGCCTTGGTTGGCTGCTCCCCCAGGTAAGGCAGAGAGTACAGCCCCCCAAAGGGCTTGCAGAAAAACGGCTGCGCAACTGCAGGAGAGCAGAGCCAGGAAGGGCACTGTCAGCTCTGCCAATTCCCCAATCCTCTGCTGCACACCCTACGTTCCCCAGGGGAAAAGCTCATGTGAACCATCTGGGCAGAAGAGATCCCCACCGTCCCACAGCCTGGACCAGCCTGGGCAATGTACTCAGACACCAGCAGAATCCACAGTGCCAGCTGCAGGAGGACTGGAGAGAAAAGCTGCACACCCAGCTGACAGGCTGCTCACCTGCTGCCAGTTTGTGGTTGTGTTTCAGGGTGGACACCTTCTCCCAGCCCTCATGCTCCTCTTGCCCCAAAGAGCCAATGATCTCCACCATGTGCCAGTGAACCCAGTACGTAGAGCCCAGGGCTTGCCAGTACACCTGAGGAGAAGAGCCCAACACACACCCAGCTGAAGGAAGGGAAGCCCACCCCCACCGCTCCCATGCAATGCTGCCTGCTTTCTACAGCACAACAGAGCAGACAGGCCCCTCAACAGCCCCTGCCCTCCCAGCAGAGGATACCTGCACAGGCGGCGTGCCATCATTGCTCTGGCGGAATTCACCCTCATCACCTGCGCTGACCTGCTCATAGTCCTCCAGCATGCGCACCCTCATGCCACACACCAGGTTTGCCTGCACGTATTCCACATAGCTGCTGCGGCTTGGGAAGGCTGAGCGGGTCTTGAAGACACTGGGCTCTTTTGGTGGAGGAGAGGGAGCTGCTTGAGCAGTGGTGCAGGATGTGGCCCTGTGCTGGAAGATGGACTGGGTGGCACGAGGCCGCAGCTCCTGTTGGGGCAGCAGCTCTGGCTGGTGGCTGTGGTCCCAGCCCATCACGTGCACCAGCTCCAAGATGAGGTTTGCCATAGCCATGCTGAACTCAAACTCCTGCTTCACACGGCTCCTCTCCTCAGTGAGCAGGCTGGGCACAGCGCGGTCCTGCTGCTCCCCTCCCTGCTCCACACCACTGCTGAGCTTGTCCATGAGAGAAGTGACACACAGGTAGCGCTTCACCAGGACGAACAGCAGCTTCCCAGGGATCTGCAACAAGCACAGCTGTCAGACTCTAGCCTGCAGAGAGCCCCCAGCCCCCAGCTCTTTCCAATCCACCAGCGCACATCCATG